ATACGGTGACTGTGAGGCCCCCACTACTGTCCCTACTATGATCGTACTAGGACCCTTATAATTGGCATGGTTATAAACTTTATTGGATTCCTAACTCGAGTTTATGACTCTGCTCCGAGCTACCTGAAGGTTGCCCATCCCTGCTCTAGAAAGTCTCTCGACGGTTGGAAGGTACAACTATCCTAAGCCTGTACTTAACCGAAAATTTTTTTCACCATTTTGCATACATCTTTGATAAATCTAGTGACTTCCATAGTGACACCTTCAAATATTAATAAATAAAATACGATTCCAAAATATCACATAAAAAAATATCACACATCATCCTCAATATTTTCTGAGGGAATATTTTCTCGGCGAAACATTACAAAACAAAATGTTATTGAACTGTTACTAATGTTATTAATGTTATAGAAATTTTCTGGGAGTAATTATTGTATTATATTACAATATTATTTTCGATATTCAAGCATCAGCGATATGTGGGAAATTTTGTTTTTGTTATTATTCATCTGCAGTCAGACCTAAATGCGCAAGTCATTTTTTGTTGTTATTTGCTCTAACATTTTTTTAATTTGCAATATTATGAGTGACATTTTGTCCTGTAGTATTATTTTTAACCGTTAATTTTCCAACACCCGGACATTTTCCAATCCCGCACATTCCAGAGCGAAAAACCCGCGAGATTCCACCCCCCACAACCCCCCAATAATTAATAAAAATAAATCTCCCAAGATGACTCTCTCTGACAATTATAAATATCCACAGCTAAAGGTCTGCATTTCCACCAAAATTTCCACCATTTTCCTGTTTAAAAAAATACAACTGTTTTTCCCTCAACATATCTTAAATAAACAGATACCACCCTATCACTAATTAAATCATCTCGAGTTTGATTGACTTCCTAGAGTAAACACCCGACGATTTCTTAATTAAAACCACTCATTATCAAAACAACAACCGAAAAAAAAAAGCCAATCACAAGTGCTCACGACAAACCCATCAACACCGGATTACCAAACAATTTCCCAACATCACATTTTTCCAAACTCCCTAATTCCAGAACTCCTACGAACCTTAATGACCCCTGATTAATGAACAAAACAATTGGAATGCCTTAAAATAGCTCGTCAAATAATGATTGTCGCAACGAGAACAGTACATCATTCATGAGACACAAGAAATAAATACAATTATCACATGATAATGAATATCTGACTCACCAAAGGGAGCATTAAACGCGGTGATCATGAAAACCATGTAATTCACCCTCACAATAACAGCATTGATACGACGGGAAAACATTTCCGCGCGTTATCGAGTGATTTTTATCGAATGAATTACGCGATTGTGATACGTATGATACGGCCGCTCGCGTGGCTCTGAGCTTTCAGTATTCCTGAGTATTCCTCTCAACTCTAGAATCACGAGAGGCGCCTGCTCCGTCCAACATCCCTCCGAGGACACCGACAAAAATATATATAATATATAAAAGATATTTATTATATTTTTAAACTGAGAAAAAACATGATTTCTGGCAAAAATCGACTTGTGCATGCAAAAAGAAAATTTATTTCGCCAACAATATTTATTAACGTCAAGAATATATTTTTATATCTTCTTTTTTAATTACAATAAATCTGATTAGACTGTGACGCGTCCTTGAACGAACTCCATGCATTATTTTTTTTTAACAGCGAAGGAGAGAAAATTGGCATTTTTTAATTTTTATTATAATTATTGGTCCAGTAAAAATTTCAATTTCATTTCATTATTAAGAAATCGAGGCTTTCTTCAGGATTTATAATTGTTGATTGAGCTCATTCAAGGTCATAACCAAGATAACCATCCTCTGGAGCAATATGGTTATTATTATTTAATACCATTTTTAGAAAAAAAATGTCACCCATTAAAAATTGCTCCATTCTCAATTCCCAATATTTTTAAAACCTTAAACAAATATATAACCAGATAAATTAAGGATTCAGTAATTAGTGAAAAGAGAGACAGTCAAATGGATTACCAAAAATTCCTAATAAGCAATAATTTAATAATAATAATAATTTAATTTACAAATCCATATTACCCTGCACTCTTGTAATATTCTGAAGGGAATGAATTCTTGGGACAGACATTTTTCTTCTCATTGTGACAAGAATATTACGCGACAAGTGGGAAAATATTTTGGTGCAGCCCTAGGGTATCCTAGGGGCGGAAAGATCGGCGAAGTCTCGACTAAAAACAATTTGTGGAGACCCCCGGAAATCTTTGACCTGTCACGACCAGGTGAAGAGATTAAAACAGAATCAGCGAGAAATCTCTCATGCCTTGACCATTTAGCGATATAATGGGTTGATGTAGAATACCTTTCTCATAACCTCCGGTATAAAACCCCCATCATATTTAAAAAAAGCATAAAAAACACTTGTGCACGACAAACCCGTAATTTTCCTATTTGTTACAATTTTTTTTTATCATTATATAATATCCAGGAGGACATGTAAGTCGGACGATGGAATCCTTTCACCATTTCAATTATCTCGCGTGTGTGGATAAAATAAAAAATTAAAAATCAGGTCTAGTGTTTTATTTTCATAAATACCGGAGAACGCGTAAGTCGATTGATTTTCGAAATTTTCCCGCGTTTTTTGTAAAAAAATATTTGACGATTGAGTAGAATATAATTATTATTTATAATATTTATAATAATTATAATATATAATTATCATTTTCTGCTGACGGAATGATGGAAATGCGGGATTTCGGGAATCAGGAGAGGATCGGCAATTTATATTATTATTATTTACATTACTTCATCCAATATTTGGTTCCATTTCCAATTAATTTGAACTTATAAGGGAATCTTCATTAGATCATGTAAATTAACCAGGCACTGGATAATGTTGGTTGGGAATTATTTATCCATTTTTTGATTATTATTCTTCAATGGTTTAAGTGAATTCCTCTATTATTATTCTAATGTTAATAAAAATTGTTCATATTGCTCTGATCATTCGTGAGTTTTCCGAAAAAACAGAGAATATCCAAGAATTCTCAATATTACCGTAATTTTCAGAATTCAATAAATTATTTCCCAAAATTTCTAATATTTTTGATTATTTTGTTTATTACTGTTAATATTCGATAAAAAATGAAGATAAAATTCATATAAATATTTGATACGTTAAAAATTCTATTTCTCACTAAAATTTCAACTCTCCCTGGGCCTGTATATCCCATGAAATATTTAGCTCTACATTTTTCCAGGATTTTTCTACAGAAATAAAAAAAAACCGTTATTCTCTACAAAATTCTCTAGCACGTACGATGTAAATAAATTATTTTTCCGTTAGCCATAAATTTCCATCACCATTCGAATTGACAACAAAAGCACATCAAAACGCTATTTCTCCATGAAATGGTTCCTCAATAACAGGATTTTATCGATGTGCTTCAGTGTTTATCCCAGAATATTTTTAAATACGTTAGTTACAATGAAAAAGAATCGCGAGTGATTTCGCCAATCAATTATGAAGCCGTCATAACCCTGACGAAATGTAAAATGCGAGATAAATACGAATGCAACGATAACCCGGGATTCTGGCCTCTAACTGCCGATACCAACGATTCCGATTTATTTTTTTCTTACTGGGTAACTGAGTAAAATCTCGTTGGCGGTTGGAACTCAATTAGTTCCTCATCAGACGGCGTTTGATCACCGCGTTCAGTACAATATCATTTTAATAACCTTCAGCTATTGCGTTATTTCGTTAGAAATTTTGGAGAATGTATGGCCAACCGATTCCCAAAGTTCAGAGGGAACCAATCGACTCGTTCCCCAATGGATCTCCACCGGACAAAGTAAGTCTCTTGTCAAGATCATATTCAGTATTTTAAACAAAATCGGAAATATTCGGTAAAAATGACGGAACGATTTACAATGCGACACAAGAAATCGATTTCCACCGGTTTTAGAGGAGTCGAAGAAAATAAATCTGAAATGTTCAGTAATTTCGCGAGTTCCTCAAATTAATCCGGAATAAAAAAAAAACTCACAGGTAATACTCTAGTTATTGTGTAAAAATATAGAAAATTCGGGAATATTTAACAATTTTTATGGGGCTGGTGTTTTGTTCGTGCAATTTGTTCCGTAAAATTTCTCAATTATTTAAAAATGACGGAACGATTTGTTGTCAACGCAGGAATGAGTTGTGAGATTAGCGAGTAATTTTTATTTTCGCATACAATTTTTTTTTCAACTCCAATTTTTATTGAATTCCCTTCTCTCGAAAATTACAATTGTAAATTTTAATCTTCTCTTTCCCTTCCCACGAAGTAACGCATAATAAAAACTCGTTTCCAATTTGATCTTTTTAAATCATTTAAAAATGAGGAAAAAGATAAACTTCAAAGAATTCCTCTTCCTGAAAAATATACTCATCATCAACAGATAAATATTTTTTCCGTATCTCATTCAATCTCCAATCGAATTTCATCAGCTACTTATGAGTCGACAAAAAAATAAGCATGAAATACAAAAACAGAAGGCCTAATTGCCTTCGGTGAAATTGCTCCAGTGGATGATGCAAAGGCCTGAGACTCTTGCAGGATACGATGTTTAACCCGAGAGTAAAAAAAGAAATCGAAACGACAGGAAAACATTGACACTGGAGCGGCAATTGCCCCGACTTTATTAATAATTTACTCAAATTATTAGAATCCGTTGTATGAACTACTTTTACAGTGCCACTGTATTCCATTTAATTTATTTAATTTACTATTATTTAAATATTTATTCCGTACTTGGTGCTCGTTGCATTTTTGCGTGGTAGGGCCTCCGGCAATTTTCACTGCTTCTTCGCAATTTTTACCAGACGTAAATTGACGGTTGAGGTTGATTGGACAACAGGAAAAATAAAATCCACTAACGCAGATTGATGGAGAGATGGTAGACAGGCCAAGAGCTGGTGGGGATTCTTCCATTCTATAAAACAGCGTAACAAACTTTACAACACCAGTCGATTCGTGATCCCTAGGCTTTGGGATACCGATAAAAATTCAACACTCGAATACGTCGATATAAATATCGATTCCTCGAAATCGATCAAATTGATTATTAATAAAAAATTTTTGTGGTTCGGGATTTTGGATTCCACGGTACACCATCGCGGAATCTTTTCGTTTTGAAAATGCCGCCAACACAAATAATCGATGTAAGATTTTTTATGAAAATCCCAATTATCCGCAAAATCTGCAAAATAAATTTACAAGTCTTCATTATTAAAAATTTGAGGTTTAATGAAAATGTTTAAGTTTTAACTGAAAATTATTTTTTATTCAAATTGATTTTTCAATAAAAACATTTTATCGATAAATTTCATGGACATCCTTAAAATTTAACATTAAATACAATCAAATTCTCCCTAGATTTCAAACAACCAAAATATTAAAGAAATTAAATAATTCGTCAACAAAAAATTATTAAAAATTTCAATTTTTTCACTTGAATACTCAAATGTAAATTCAGTAACTTTTTACATCGATAGTGTCCTGAAAAGATAACGACTGATTGCAAAAATTACGTCAATTAAAGATTTAACAACAAACTAATAGTTAGTCTGCACAAAAGTCCGTCGGTAAATCCAATTCGTTCAATCAATCACTGACTGCTAGGATTCTATAAATTCGTAACGATCCTCTCCGAGACTTGGCGAGACTAATGCAATCCATCAAAGTCATACCGGCATCCCTCAATTATAAATAACAATTAAACGAAAAGAAATTGCACCATAGAAACTGCCCTGAAAAAATAATCCAGATTTAATAAAAAGTCTCACCGATTTTCGCTGCATGCCTTAATGAAAACGATTTATTTCCATTTCAATTTAGTTTTCATATTTTCATTGTATTATCATTATTATTATTGTTGTAGTTGTTATAATTAATAATTAATTTACTTCCTCACTTCAATAGTTTTTAATTTTCAATATAGTATGAAAAAGTATACGACAAAATGAATATATTGTTATAGTTTTTATTTATCAATCCCTTTTGTTTAGTAATTTTATAAAAAAACCTCTCTGCAGCTTTCATTCGCAAATTTAAACATTTTATGGATTTGAAGCGCTCGCTGTACCACAGGGAATTTTACAGAATTATTCACTAAATTCGTTATCCGAAACACTCTAAATGCGAAAACATCAAACGAATTCGTTTATCATTCATTCGGATTAAATAAATAAACAACGTGATGGTCCTCCTTTCAATATTTTGATAACAAAAAAAAAACCATTGCATTTGTTTTCCGTTCGTTGTTACCGTCCAAGTGGAATGTTCATCCACCCGTTGATAAAATAATAAAACCAGAAAATGGAATACTTTTGTCGCTTTCAGCCAAAGCTGATGGAAGGAGGTAATTACATAAAGGAAGGACGAGATTCCGCCAAGAGCACTTGCCTCATCTTCTCACCAAAGGCTGAGGACAAAGTTGGATGTCTTGGAAAATTTCTCCAGCTCTTCACCGTAAGAATATTCAAGAAAATCATGATAATTTGTCGTCCTTGGCAATTCCTTTATTAAAAAATTTAATGAATTTTCATTGTGATACCTTCAGGAGCATCATGTGAACCTGTTGCATATTGAATCAAGGAGTTCATTACGACAGGCTAATGGTTACGAATTTATGGTTGAATGTGCACCCGGAGGAGATCTCGGAATTGCTGTTGAGGCATTGAAAAGTCAATGCAATTATTTTTCCATTATCTCGAGGTATGGATTAGCCTATAAATTATATTTTCGTTAACTAGGTGATATTTTGGGTTATCAGGGGTCTTATAGAAATGTGAAGAGACCTTCATTATACAGTTGAGGAAATTCAGTGTAAAGGCCGTCCTTGGATATCCATTTGGACAATGGGTTGTTTCAAGGATAACCCACAAGTCTTTTCTCAATGACTGTTTATTTTTAATTAGCCATTACTCCCCACTAGTGCAAATTTAATTAATTAATTCAAATTAGTGATCTTCATTAATGAAAGAATGATATTAAATTATTTTAAGAAAAACAATCGTAGAAATTATCTATACTTTTACCATCTTCCATTTTGTGCACATCACACCATGATGTAGAGTAATAAACCTCAATCAATCGATCAATTAATATCATTGATAATTCTTCTCATCCCGAAGCTGTTTAATAAATTTCTGATTGGGCTTGAATTTATTCTTAATTACCGTAATGGATGAATTTACAGGAATCACAAGGACAACATTGGCACTGTACCCTGGTTCCCAAGGCGGATTCGTGACCTTGATAAATTTGCCAATCAAATATTGACGTACGGAGCTGAGTTGGATGCTGACCATCCGGGTTTCACAGATCCTGTGTACAGAGCGAGGCGAAAATATTTTGCTGATATAGCTTATCATTACAAGCAGTGAGTCATCAATTGCTCAATAAATCGCCAGTTGACTCAAAACCATGATCAATCACTGAAGAGACTCATAAAATCATCAACCTAATCACCCTCATTTGTTGAATTTGAATATTTAAAAAATTATTGTTTCTTCCTGTTCAGTGGACATCCCATCCCCAGGGTGGAGTACACCAAAGAGGAAATAGCAACGTGGGGCGTTGTTTTTAGAAAACTCACGGAATTGTACCCGAATTATGCCTGTCGCGAGCACAATCATGTGTTTCCATTGCTCATTGAGAATTGCGGGTACAGAGAGGATAATATTCCACAGCTTGAGGACATATCCAATTTTTTGAAAGGTAGTTTTCATATTTTTATTTTTTTTTCTTCGTTAACTTCGTAACGTTCGTTAAGACAACAAATTATTTTAACCAAGGATGGATTTACTTGAGAGATGTGTGTATTTCCTTCCAAGGTTACTTATCCAATTGAGTTATTAATAATCATCATATTGCTTTAAAGGATGATTACGTGGAATATGTCCTTGGACAAATTCCACTGATTATCATTAATTTTCTTTGAATACAGAATTTTTAAAGGGCAAAAAATGGAAGGAACTCTTTAATATTGATAATTACTGAACAATTTTATTCAAGGTCATAGCCAGGATAACTATCATTCAAAGCAATATGATTATCATTATTAATGATGTGGTTACCTGGGGAAATAAAATTATTATGAATATACTCTTCTCTAAAGTTAATGAATCCTTGACAAGTCATGATTTTCTCAGTGTATGACACGTGGAATTGTTGGACAATACAACAAAATTAATTTATAAACGAATCATTGACCCAGATGATGTAATTGTTTAATAATTGTGTTTAGACTGCACGGGATTCACTCTACGTCCAGTAGCTGGTTTGCTATCGTCTCGTGATTTCTTAGCTGGACTTGCCTTCAGGGTATTCCACAGTACTCAGTACATAAGACACAGCAGCAAACCACTGTACACACCTGAACCTGATGTCTGCCATGAAGTTCTCGGTCACGTACCAATGTTGGCCGATCCAGCGTTTGCTCAATTTTCTCAAGTTATTGGATTGGCCTCACTCGGTGCACCAGACGAGTACATCGAAAAACTTGCCACTGTGAGTTTATTTGCACTGATACAATGAAAACATCACCTCCGTTTACTTCTTGTACGAGAAATCTAATCAAACCTTTGATTCGATAAACACGGAGAACAATGGATTATACTTGAAGGTCATTCATTTTGATATTTTGGTTGAATTCATTTCATGAGTGATTTTCGGAGGAAAATAGTTGTCTTAATAATTTAATTGTTGTCAGGATAAAATAAGCTGCATCTTAATGACAATTTTTCCAAATGACTGCAACCGGTTGAGAATGTTATTTGTCGTGTTAATTGGGGTATTAACATTTTTTCTGTTTATTATGATTGATTAATCACGTGATCGATCGGTTTCCAGTGCTTTTGGTTCACCGTGGAGTACGGAATTTGCCGGCAACAGGGTGAATTGAAAGTATACGGTGCAGGATTGCTCTCATCGTTCGGTGAACTGGAATACGCTCTCAGTGGAAAACCCGAACTAAGGCCTTTTGATCCAGCTAAGACGGCGTTGCAGAAATATCCGATAACCGAGTATCAACCCGTGTACTTTGTCGCCGAAGATTTTGAAGATGGCAAAGAGAAGATGCTGTAAGTGTACCAGATAGAATTTCATCAATAACACCGAGTAATCGACACTCTTCTTCATTAAAAACATCTTGTGAAGATTTTTCTCATTAAATCCTCATTAAATTGTCCAGTTTTTTTTATGGAAAAATTTCATCTCGTCTATTTTTTCAGGAAATTTGCACAGACTATACCCAGAAAATTCGGGGTGAGGTATGATCCGTATACCCAGAGCATCAGCATCATTGATAGTAAATATCAGATCGAAGAATTGGTTACGAATGTTAATCAAGAAATGGAGATATTGATGGATGCACTGAAGAAGCTGAAGAATTGAGAGTACCTCACGCTCTTCACCTTTCATTATCCACTCCTCAGAAATAAATCGCTGTATTTATATTTTTTCGACCAATTTTGTACTTTGAGTTAAGAATTTCTATCGTGACTGATAATTTGTTTAAACATCAGTTGAGATTTCATGTACATATGTTTGAATATAGAAAGAAAAATAATGTTTACCCGATTTTCGTTATTACATTATTGATGGCCGCGGTATTTTTAATAAATAAATGGATTGTTTGAAGGGAAAAGTCAATGGCTCATAAGCTTATGATATTCAAAATAATGGATATCGATTATTAACATCACCATTAAGCGCGCCGTTATCGCATTATATAGCATGCTTAAGCTCGATGTAATCGGATTACATGATGCAATAATGATAACTAATTCAGATACCGATAACAAACAATCTAAACGGTAAAAATATTCCCAACAACGCGCATCAGCTGTCATTGATTGAATATTGAATGGAATTGCATAACAAATGTGATAAACAATCTATTATATTTTTAGACTTGAATTAATGTTTTTCCTAATGAAAGATATAAATTTCAAATTCTAAAGTTATCAAGAGCCAGATTATTTTATTTCGAGAGACTTCAGATGAAGAGAGCCAAGTGCTGCCCTCCCCTGGGAATCCAAAAACATAAAATGGAGGAAATTGTCAGCCATTTGCTATTACCTTGATGAATAGAAGCACTTGAAGAGGTCCGAAAGAAAGAAAAAGATCTGCACCGACTATTCGTTCCGGCAACTTTTCCTTTTATTTGGAACAACATCTTCGGTGAATGATCTTTAAAACGTCCACTCCAGACAATCAATCTAAAAAAAAATGCAACAATAGTTTCTGGAAATATTGCTATGAATTTCCAGAACTTCTTCCCTTTTAAATGACTCATTACGTATTAATTCTTATCAATCCCTGAAGAAATAGACCAATGTTAATTAAAAAAAATTATTGATGAAGTCCGAGTTCCAGAACGTGGAAGAGGCATTGAAAAAAATACAGCAATGCAGTATTCAATGAGTTTCTATAACTAGAAAAGAAAACAATTTTATTGTTCATATATTGTATAAACCGTAGAGAATCAAAGAAAATCGATAAAGCGTTCAAAATATATAATATATTGATAATGAATGATAACACTAGATTAGGAGAGAGCACATATTACAATTAAACATTTGTACCAAAGTTTCTGGAATGATTATATTGATTCACTGTCTAGTTTTTGCTTCACGCATATTTATCTTACAGATAAATCTTACTTTCCTGACTTATCAATAATGTCGATTATAATAATTCGGACTACTCATGATATTATAGAAATATTTATAATAAATTAACGCACAGTACAAAATATATCATACCACAATTTTTGACATAAATAATATATTCGTCCAAGTATTTTCATGCCATTTTTGATTATTTAACATTAAATACTCGGTATTAATTCTTAACATCAGTTAATATAGTTTTTATACTTTCGTTATCTTCACTGGATGGTCCTCTGCACACAAGGAATACAAATGTCCTGTCAACATTTTCATCTTCGTTTATTATGATTAATGAAAATTCCGTAGCAACTCAACAAATTGTAACAAATGCAACTTCACAATATAATTACAAACAAAAATGTTCATGCATTTTGATTACATCAGCACAAGTTACAGAAAATCGTCGGTTGTTTTTCTGATGATAGAGAATAATTTACCAGGAATTTGTTTTTAATTATTCACTTTGTTCATATTTTTTACTTCAACGGTTTTTTCAATTGCGAATTTTTATTTCAATTAATGAAAAATCTTCCCGGATGCCTCCATTATTCAGTTACATTGCAAGACAACAATGATTACTGGTCCACTAACACTCAAGGCCACATAGAGACGTAATGGCATCAAGAAAAAAATGGCACATAAACTATTCGATAAATTAATGGCTGTTAATTGAGATGCAAGTTAATTTATGAGATTTTTTCACTCCAATTCCATTCTCTTGATATTGAACCGTCGAATGTGCGTATTCACGGGTATGAATGGAGTAATCACGTCCATCTTATATTATCTTCTCACGATTTACTTGAAAAAATATAATTCTTTGATATGAATAAAAAAATAAATTTCGTTTCAGGATTCAGGAATTCTATCTCTTCATGATCAGCTATAATACAGTTAGGATTCACATCTCATTTCTTCTATTTGCATCCGTTCTTATTGTAGAATAGTCAATAAAATGACAAAATGATTATAATTACTCGCAACAACGGATAATCAGAACAATTTTCTACCATTAAAATACGATGATAATATGTGATAGCAATTGACTTCTATCAACTTCTTCAAATTTTCAAGCAGAAAATCAGATGATGGAGTAAAAATAATCTCTTTCTGACCTGTAGAAACTATTATCGAAGATTTCAGGAAATGATCTTAATATTTCAACAACTTTTTCAACTTATTATTGCAACGGTAGGTAAACTGGGGCTAACAGAAACAAAGAATCAAACCATAACCTACTATGCGTTCACAACCTCGGAAAACCTGAATATCAGAACCGTCCATCACAAAATTTCCAAAATATTATTAAAATCCTTTCCGGGCATTGGAAATTACTTCATTAGCGCAGAATGGAAGAACGTGACACAATTCCAAAGCAATCTGGACATTATTCATACCTCTCAGATTTCTCGTTTTGAATCAACACCTGTCCTTCATACTCCCAAATCCCACCAAAACCCTCTAAATCCTGGGCAGCCTAAACTGTCCATTACTACTCCTCTCTCCACTATGATAAAGTATTTCAGGTTGCTGGCAGATCTGAAAAGGCATGATCTGGCCAGTTTCCTGAACTCCCTGCATATGAATTCCTTCACTCCTCCCCGTTGTTTGCACTCTTTGCTGCATGAACACACCCTGTCCCTGAACCGGTGCAGCAACTCCGCCATCAACAACAGAAGTAATCGGAACGACAGCAGCACTTCGTTCAAAACTCTCGACAGGAACAATTGACACTGGCACAGTAACAGGAATAGTAACAGCTCCACTTACCCCCTGCACACCCTCTCCCGCAAAAATTCCCTCACCAGTCACTCCCTCCCTCCCCGGAATCGTATTAACCCCATAATTCACCCCCACATTCATCAAAGGCGAAAGAATACCGTATCTAGCAATGAACAACTGCTCGGACACTCTTCTGAGCTCCTCCTGCTGATGCACGATCAGCTGCTGCAACTCCTCATGTTTCCTCTGCAACTCGTCCTGATTCTGGCTCAAAGAATTAGTCATAACGATGCTTGGCTGATTGACCAGCATTCCTGGGACACTCAAGCTTACTGTGGGTGCAGCTGGTGTTAGAAATTCTCCAGGAACAACAGACAAAACAGGTTCGCTGTACCGAGTGCCATAACCCAAGCATCCGTCACCGGTTCTCGATGTCGTCTGATGAGGTGCTTCCTGCTGCATTGGTGTGGCTTTAGCCTGAGCATTGGCGCTGGTCTTTGGCTTTGAAGACTGCGTCGTTGATGCTGATACTCGAGAGCTCACTGAGCCTAGAGATATCGATGTGTCCGAGTCAGCACCATAGAAATTCCTGACTGATCTCGAAGTCTTCGGGGACTTTGGTGACCAGGTGGACCGAGGGGTTTGACACGGCGTTGGTTGATGCTCAGCAACTGCTGGGTGATCAACAACCTGGGGATCTTCACTCTTCTTCTGGTGTTTTATCACTTCTGACGAGTTCACGACTGTATGCGTGCAGACAATGAACTCGGGTTTGGAGTTCCACTGATTGTAGTCAATGTAGAAACGAGTCTGCAACCAAATCCACTGCTGTCCTTTAGTGAGAAAACGATAGAAGCAGGAGGTGCCTTCTCCCTTTCTCATCAAGGACTCGTGAGAGGTAACGACTTTATCCAGATCGTCCACGTGATAGTAGTCGTAACCTGATGTACCCAGTACCTCAAACGGAAGATATCCGATTATTGGAGATGCTCGCTGGTCCAGGAAGAGGAACTTCCACTCTAGACTATGCTTCGAGCCGAATTCCGATTTGTTCGTGTCGATCAGTGAAACCTCACGGATCAGCTGAGGTGTGTGAAGACGTCCGGTTCCCACGAATACCATTTTCGTGTCATTTGGGGGATTCGTGGTATAACGAGAAGGGGGAATCAGGGTCTCGATGTCGTTGCCAGACCGAAAATAACCGACGAAGTGAACGCGTTCGTAGGTTACGTTCTCTCGGAAATCTAGACTTCCTCGTTTTATGTGACATGTGAAAGATACTTGGATATCTGATTTTAATGGGTTATCTCGGGGGGTGGGGTTCAGGAGCATGTTGTACAGGAAGGATTGATCGTCTTGATACGTTATCTCGTAGATTGTGGAATTGGCCAGGTCTGTGGGGAGGTACCCTAGAAGCGCTGTGACACTCTCCGAGGCGTAGTAGATGCGACCGTTCGAGGAGAAGATCATTATGAATCCGTCCAGCGCCTGAAAAATTTGATCACTTAATACAATATCGTTTTCTTTCAATAAAAATGTCGTGAAACCAAATCTGTCACATGTATTTATTTATATCAAAAAGATATATATTATATACACAAAAAATTGCATTAACCGTTTGTTTCTGATCATGTTTTGTTCATGAAATCAATGAATTGTTTGTTCTGGTCTGTTATTTTTGGATAGATAATTGGATTCGGAGTTTCTCATAATAAATATGTAAAACAAATGGTTTTTCATGTATCTGAAGGATCGCTTCAGCACCCCTGATGAATTCTTACGTATTCATTAAACAATGGTTCCTAAATTGAGGGGAGTATTTACCTCTAGAATGAGGTGAGTGAATTCTTCATTGGAAAGAAATGAGGGTTTCCAATCCTCTTGGATTTCGTGGACTCTGGAACGTACTGCGACCTCTGAAAAAAAACGCAAGTGGAAAAGTTATTATTTTATCGATTTCGGAATTGAAGAACGCAATTGAGAGGTACTTACCGTTATGGTTCTTTAAGAATAGTATCGTCGATTTAAGTACTGTTGATTTATCCATTTTCCTCGTGTTAGTACTGACCATATTTCCGAGTTCATTGACCAGCATATTGAACTGATCCCGTCGCTTTTTTTCACTGAGGTTTCGGGATTTCCTGCTAACACATTTGTAAGAATTTTATTAAAAGACTCATTACCAAAAATTCAATGCCCTCCACAATTTATGGTACAATACAACAAATTAATCAGAATTATTAAGAATAGAGCAAGCGGAGAAGGTGTAGAAAAAAAAATTATTATTAAATTATTATTATTATTAAATCAGAATCGTTCTGTTTTTTTCCAGATTCAATTTCTCATTCCATTCCCGGAAAAATCTTGCGCAACTAAAATAATGGAAAAATCGAACGGAATCACTAAATCATTTTCTTGGATTTATGTGAATTATTTTCTACTCACAATGGGTAGTAATAACTCACCGCTTAGTATCATCTTTGTCATCATTTTCATCATCCATTGTGTCACTGCAACATTGCAAAAAAAAAAAAGTTATGAGTTACTGATTCTGCTAGCGCGGAAAACCACATTTATAAACTATAATCAATGGATATTCTCATCATAGATATTTTAAGAAGAAGCGAAATGAATCGTCTCAATTCTCCAGAAGATATTAATACCCAATTAATTCCAAATGAATGGACCGGGAATTCAATAGAGCAGTTTCAATTATAGATTTCCACCGATGAATTCTGGGCTATCATTATTTCATATTCCGAAACTCATGACTCCACGGAATATATCTTTAATTCAATGAATATAATTGAGAAAAATATATTCAAGAACCCGATCCTTAAATCCCTCATCCATTCGACATCAAGATAAATTTTCCGTAGCGTTCACTTGCCGTTTTTTTCCCCGGCAGAAAAAATTAATTAAGCCCACATAAATAATATTGACAGCGTGCGGCTGTTTTTGACGTAATCGATGGCACGAGAAAGCGCTATACGTAACCCTTTCTCATACCTCGAGACACAAGAAGATAAACGATGGATCATGCCACAGGAAAGAAAAAAGAGCAAGCGTAGAATACCAATGAAAATAAAAGCAAACGTAATACTTAACAAACAACGAGATAATATTTAACTCACTCAGAAAGTCGTGTGGAGCTCATGGTGGTGTAGCTAGCCATAATCCGCGAGGATTGACTTTGCCAATTGATAAAACAGTCAGTGCGTAATTAGTAAATCAGTGGAATTGACCAGAATGGCGGCTAGGTATCACCCTGACCACCGACAACTGGTGACCCTGCATAATTTCACTTTTTGATTCTCACTCAATGCACAAATGTCTCAGCAATTGGATTATCCCCACATATCACTGGATTCGACAATACTGAACTTTGGGATCATGCATTATTTTGGCTGATCAATTGGCTGCACACAATCACCGATACTTCACTAGTTTTCATTGAAACAGATAATAAAACTATTAACATTACACTGATACTTGTAGCGCTCAGTGCAGGAGGATAAACTGTTCAATCTTTCCAGAAGTATCTGATTAATTTCATTGGACGTAGAATTGAAACTGACTAGACCAGGCTACAACAAGTGATTACGTCGGATCGAATCAAGTCCCTAGATGTTTACTAGTTCGGTTGATAATGCGTTTGTTCCGTTGGAGAACGATGTGAAATACAGGTATGACTTTCTATCTAGTAAATACGTGGGTTCATGTGTCGTCTATGTACCGGTGTTTGCGCCTGCCCGCGAGAAATTCCGCGATACGGCAATTGCGCAAATTGCAATGCGCACCTCCAATACTTGGGGGGAGACTCTCAGTGACATTTGAAAATCCCGCGGTTTTCAATGGCTCCAGTAAAAGCTGCTGGATAAAAATAAAATAATGTTCTTTTTTATTATTTTCCGAGACATCCTTGACAATGATGATTTATCGCGAGGGGAAAAGTTTACGTCTTATAATTATTTAATCCAGAAACAAGACGGGAATAGTTAGAGCCACTCAGTCTTGCCTGCAGCTCCAGCCTCTGCTTCAAAAACTCAGAATTCAGAATATCAAATCCAGTTTTGGTCTTGAGACTTGACGGTCGCACGGATTGGCAACTGACAGAAGTCTTTGACATTATTTTCCCACGATTCTTTCCAAAATTTTCATTCAAATCATTCTTCGCTGCTAAATCCTTGAAAACCGGCGGATCCTTTGCTGCCAACTCATTCATTGTCGAAGATCTTCTATTCTGATTGATGATCTCACGCTGATCCCTCGGTTTTTCATTATTTGTGATGTCGTTGGTGTCCGAGGACTTGATGTCATCACGAGAACGAGACATTGATCCGGTCAGCCAATCGAATTCAGAGAGAGGGCTCGTAGACTGATTGAAACCGCTCAAGCTCTTCTTGACTGAATTCTCCAGGAGACGTTCTTTCGTTCTCAATGATGATGATAATGATAATCCACTCGACGATGGCGTCTTCCTGCGACTTGAGACTCTCGACTGCAGAAGTTTATCTCCACCTGAATGGTACGTCGATCTTGGAGCAGGACTGGCCTTGAAGGTCTTCGGCTTCTCAGGGTTTTCCTTCTTCGGTTTCAAATTGAATTCCGATGACTGCAGGGTCAGGACGTTCACAGACTTCTGATTGTCCTCCAACTGGACGTCAGAGGGAACCCCACGAGATTTTACTTTATAATCTTTATGAAATAATTTTGCTTTATCTTCAAAAGCCTCTTCAATATTCAATTCCAGGGTTTTCAGGCTTAAGGCACTTGGGGCGGATTTCCTGGAGGGATTTTTTTTAATCTTCACTTCTAGCTTCATGTGCTGGGGTCGGACATCATCGGGTGGTGGAGACTCTCGCCAGAAGAAAAGGGGATCTTTCATTTTCAGAGTTTTAGGAACGTGGGACTCCATCTTGATGTCCTGGAATTGAAGGAGAATTTTCGGATCAGATCCACCGATTCGGTTACTGAATTTTCTCATTCGTATTTATAATTGTCATTTGTGAGAGGTGGTGCTCACTTGAGTTTCTTTGAGTAGCTGCTTCCAACCGTAAGACATGCCGTACCTCTTCTGTGCGCGATGGAAATCTTCTCCTTTCACCTTTTTAAATATCACTTCCCAGGTTTCTTCGTTATTCAAAATCTATGCACAAATAATCATAAAAGTGCCGTTACCACATACTTTCTGGTGAAGATTTGACATGATTTACCTCACAGAATGCTCGAGACAGTCGAAACAACTGAGGAATATCCTCTGCAGGTAGAAATGATAAAATATTTGTAAAAATTTTTCTAGGAAGTGTCAGCAAGGACTGCTTCTTCTCGATGATGCTGTTCGCATATTCCAACCAGGAATTACCTGTTCAATGATTATCAATGGAGTAATAAAGACGAAGTATAATTGAAAAGATAATTTTTCTGCAATGTTACCAATTACCAAATATTTGCTCAATTTCGCTCTGTAAAGGAGAATCTTTCCTCCAGTTTCGGAAACTCGCGGCTCTCGTGATTGGCACTTTGTGGGGTCTCTGACGAATCGGCCAGTGAAATAATTTAATCTTGAATGAAAACCAATTGATATTTCCAAAGGAATCATTCACACAATCTCAGTTCTATCCACAAACCTCGTCGTCCTGGATTTTAAGTCCGTAATAATCTCGACTAGGGGCAGGAGCTACTGTATATTTCTCCAAAAAAGTTTGTGACATGTCAATCGGGTTAAGGACAAAAGCAACTTACATTTCGGGGACCAACCTCGTTTGTTTCCTTTAAAAAAAAAATGAGTAAAAAAGTGTGAGCGAAGTCGTATCATTTGCGAAAAAGATTTTCAAAGGAAATAATCAACAAAACCATCAATACTGACTTCGACAATATTTTATTATAACAGTTCAATATGAAGAAATGAAGATAAATATAAACACTTGAAGTAAAAATGAAAAAAACAATAATGGCATCGCACAAGAGAAATAGTATCGCAATATTCTTATGAAATGTACGGGAAAAGCTAAAGAGTAATATCACAATGCATGATTCGTTTATAAAAGTGTCAAGAAAATTCTAAGACAAAATATCAGAGAAAGGAGAGACGCATGTATGCACACCCGATGTATCTTAACTTTTCTCGATAAAGGACAAAGAAACATCATAAATATAACGTGAGAATGATCTCGGGAAAATGCAAACAGCGAGATTGAAAAATATCTGGCAAGTCGCCGATGAATCATGCACCAAAATTTTTATCTCAAGGCCCAATACGACAAATCTTAAATATCAACTTGAAATATTGATTCGTATGTATAAACGTCAATAGTGAATACTTGATTGCATCGTTGATATGACGTGTCCAAACTTTCTTCATTATTTTTCCCCTCAATTTTTCGTCACCTCAATCATTCGGAAAAATATCGGTGAGAATAAATACTATGCACTACCGTATACGCGAAGTCTTATAGAGAGATGGAATCAGTTTTGAATAAAAAAATATTTAGGTTTTTGTTTTTATCGTATGAAAAATTTGTAAAAGAGGTTCTCGTCTTGCGAGCAACGATCGTTGTACCGAAGAAACAATTCACAACAACTTGGTCGGACTATTGTCTATTTCTTGAGACTGAGGAAATATTTCAGTGGTTCAAGTGATTGAAGGAGATGAGTCCAACGATTTAAGGGATGAGAAGCATTTTCCTTCAGCAAAACTTTGGGGTCATCTTCATTCAAATCTTTACCTCCATTGTTTATTTCTTCCGATGTAAGAACAATGTTGAGTTTTGTTTGGCAAGGCATACGCCACGAGAACCTATTGCTACCTACAATCAACATCTTGATTGTTATGGAATTGAATGATTGCATTAGAGTCCCTTTATCTATCTCCTATGAATCTTAAATCTTTAAGCATCATGTGAGAATCTCATAATGTACCTCAAATAATTAACGTGAAAGCTGAATTTCTGTGAGCACTCACAAAAACAAATCTTCCATTACGACAATTTTATCATAATTTATTACAAAGTTTCGCACCTCTGGAATTATTGCCGTATTATTACCGCAATTTCATCAAGCGCCTGTATTGTATACATAGAAATGTGTGTATATATATTATATATGTAGATATATATTATATATAGAATAGTAGAAGTAAAATATGTAATCATGGAAGAACAGATTTGTGTCTTCATTTCAGAAAGAAAGTGGAAATATCGCCTGGAGAATTCATGACTCTTCAGGATATGTCTCTAAAAATTTGTACCATTCGAGAATTCAGAACCTCAAATCATGAACAATAGGGAGAAATCATAATCTTTCTCTGAATTGAAAAATTCTCCCGGTGACATTCCCTTGAAATTTCGATGGGATATTTAGCAATAAAAACTGCAGTTGTTAAATTAACAGTTTAGGATTGAACTGTCACAACTAAAAACTCCACAGAGAAATCCAATGACAATGATTTCTCGATATTAAGTTTTTCCCTCGGTTTAACCAATAGTATTTTGTGCGTAAAGTATTAAGACTAGTATTTAACATTAAATATTGTGGATTATTCCCAGAGTAGCAACATTCGTTACATAATTAAACGGGCCTAGGGTTATTAATCAAGTAATTGAAATTATTATCAGTCTGATTATCGTGGTACAAATGTCTTATTCGATAGACGGAAATGAAAATAGCGAGTGGATCATTAATTTTTCAAATCTTTTACTGATTATTCATGAGTGCACGATGGAAATTGTGGATGTGGTGATGTTATTCCCATCGCTGCAGATGCTGGATGATGTAGTGGTGTCTTCTGATGATGGTGATGTTATAGTCAGCTGTCGCTTCTCCATGTGATTGAGGGTTTTTTCTATGGCTCTCAGTCGCTTCTCTAAGCTCGTTGTCCCCAGAATTCCAACTTGGAGTTGTGGCCCAAAGGGAAGAATCGCGAGGATCCACCAGGTCCAGGAGGGACCATCAGGAAGACGCCACCACTCATCCTCAGGAGCTGGAATCTTGCCGAATACTCGTTGAATCTCTGTTTGTTGATGGAGAGATACTGTCGACCACCACTGCTGCCCCTTCAGCCATACCTGATGAAGATAAATTATTTATTTATTCAAATTTATATTTAATAATGAAAAATTAACGGTTGTGGCATCACACAGTCATGCCTATCAGTATGATCTACAATTCTGTGCATGAAATATTCCACTCGGTGTATGTGGTACACGAAAATGTTGTGCAATCTTTCTTCAGGTAAATGAAATCAATGAAAGTGGTGGATAAAATAATCTATCGATTCGTTTACCTTATAATGAAGTTCATGTAGACTCGGAAGATGGTCCTGTGGTACAGACGAGTCTCGTAAGAGTTCTACCTTAGCTGTGTCGTAACCATCTCTTTCACCTCCCGACAAAACTCTAAATCTTCTACCGCCAACTGTACTCAGTATGCTACATCCGTCTTTCATCAAGACACGATCTCGAATTTCTAGGACGGTGCCGTATTGAGCGTATCTGAAAAATCGAAGAGAATAAATATTTAGGGAGCACACGATCCGACAAATCGATTACCAAATATCGATTTCTAAGCAGAATTACCGAGAAATATTATTTTTTAACATCCTTAAATACTAATGGATAAAATATTACTTAGAAATATTATTCAGAAATATTACAGAACGAAATATTACGTATGAAAAATATTATTGAGATTTTCGTGGAATAATTATCTTATTATATTATAATATTTAATTCGGTATACAAGTATTCTGATCCCTTTCAAAAAAATTAGACGTTTTTTGTCAGCTTTTTCAGAAGGTGCACTCAATGACAGACGGAGACGCGGAGATATCATAATTGTTAGTTTTTCACAGGGGAAAGGTGACAGTGAATGGAGTTTATCAGTCCAGAGTAATAAATATGGAAATTTTATTTACCTTTTACTACCTGTTGCATCTTTGTTGAGACAAGCGGCAATGCCAAAGTGTCTGACACCACTCTCAAGGCATCTCCTAACCATCAGTCTGTATCTTGGCTCGTAAACGAATAATGGACAAGCAACACACGGGAATGCAGTGGTACATACAAAAACAGCAATCTGTTGACTTCCCAAAATTCCGAGATCTTGAACTAATTCCAGTCGATGGCTAGCTGCACGCGATGCATATTCCGTTGGAGATATTGTCATCAGTGCTTTCTCCACGAATTCGGTCACCGTTTTCTGATTACTCGCCAGATACTGTCAATTCAAAAAAAAAAAAAATCAGGATTAATAATGGATGATTCCCCTCCTGATATCCTCACACTATGAAATAAAAAAAAGAAAGCGTCCGACTCGATTAAATGAAAACTAACTTCAACGGGGCGACGATTAAATTTTGGAAACGACGAGTATTAGTTTGTATTCATTGTATTTTCAATAGCTTTTCCTCTAAAATCCTCGACTTCGTTCCTACGAAATCATTGAAAATGACTCGCAGTCACGAAATCATGTCGCGAGCAACCCGAAGTGTTTGTTCATTTCCTCTCGAAATCATAAAAATCAACCCCAAAATCACGTGAGATCGATTGAATTCCGAGATGACGATTTATGGAGATTATTGATCTGCAGTTCAAGTGATTATGATTGTAAGGGTTTTATTCTGGGGATTTTTCAATGAATCCTTTTTTATATTTATCTTACATCGGCTAGAGAAGTGACACACAATGGACAAGCTGAGGAGTAGTCCAGACAACGATCCAAACACATCCAGCAATATGTGTGTCCACAAGGTGTTGTCACTGGTTTCCACAGCGATCGACAGCACAGAACGCAATCTAAATCACTCAAACTTGTGCCACTTGATAATGGAGGTAGTAGAATTTCTGCCGGCATTGATTCTATTCCTGAATAATAAATGTTAGTCAATGAAAAACATCCGGAAAAAAGCCATATAATTTTTATTTATTTATTTCCAATTGTCCATCGATTTTTAAAACGAATAACCATGACAACGTACTCTTCAATTTCTCGATCTCCTGGTAAACCCGATCCAAGATGGTGTGGAACTTGACATTGGGCTGAGGTACATTATTGAAGAGTAGCCTCCGGCATATCGCCTGCAATGAATAATAAAATACTCCATGAGTAAAAGTCGTAGGAGCGTTGACCGATTTTATGGAATTTCTAAAAGACAAAGTGAAATGAAAATCAATCAGGGACTCATGAAATTGCAATTGGAATTGCGGAATGTCTCGTATGAAGATACGATTACAGAATTGAACGGTTCAAGACTCGGATGTACCATCAATAGGACGTAATCGTTAGTTTTTATTTTATCTGCTAGTTTAAAATATTTCTGCATTTGGGTTGCAAATGGAATTGCGGAAACCACATCAATTGTTATAAATAATAATAATAAAAAAGAGGAAAAATTGTTGGAGGGGGGTAGATCGAGATATTGATTCCAAGTGATTTTTGTTTTTTTTGTTTACCCAGTAATAATTAAAAATACGCAGTTTATTATCGGTAACGTTTGACAGTTCATTTTGATTCTTAATTGTTATTGATTATCAAATGTATTCCTTCCTCCGTCACGGCGGCTAGTAAACTGTATATTTTTAATTATTTTTTTATAAACCCAGGAAATTATCCCTTGAAATCAATATCTCGATCTGCCACTCTTCCACATTTTCCCCATTTTTTATCTTTTGTAACAAAAAAATTGCTGAGCACTCATGACTTCATGCCCGATTGATGCAATAAGATAACAATTGTAAAGTGAATTGAGCCCTTTAATTCGTCCTTAATTACAACTTCTGCAAATGCAACAGCAAAATGGATAAGAGACATGAGTGGAAACATAATATTTCCATGAATTGCCAAGGGGATGGTGCGGGTGATGGGAAGTGAAGGCTTGGTGCTTTGAAATCGATAACCTCGCAGCCGCGCACCAACGCTGCACCACGTAAATGATCCAAAATTACAGAATCGAGTTTCAACAATTAATAATTACATGGGATCTAATTTAACACCATTGATTATTTACTCGAGGATGTTTATATTTATGTCGAGGGATAATTGATGGTTTGAAAGTGGAATGAATGATTTTAAAGACGAGATCAGGTGGTGATTTGCTGATGGTGATCTCCACCTAAAAATTATTCATTTTTTCGTCATCAGGTTGTGGAATTTTTTAGAGCAATTCGGAGGGTCTTGTTACCTGAGTGAATTCCTCCTCGCTGCTGCTGTTGTCCTCGCAGTCTGATGAATTGAGAGCTGGACGACGGTGACGCTGATTTGGACTCATCAGGGGTCGACGGTGATGATAATGATGGTCACGGTTTCTTCTCACGCGGGCGTTGCTCTCTGATATTACGCTGTAGGGACTACGAGGTGTCGGCGGACTTTTTCGACGGTGATTTGTCGATAATATTCGGTGTAATACCTGTGGAGGAGTGAATCTTTCATTTAAATATTTCACTCTGAATATTTTCAATCTTTCGATTTTTCAATTGTACACAATTAAAAAGTGCGCAAACAATTAAAGAAATCTATTTGCTCAAGTAAATTGAACTTGCAGAAAACTTATTAAATTTACAAGAAATTTTGAATTGATTTTATATTTTTTTTAATTGGGTCACGATTTGGAATTTTCAATTGGAAAATTTTACGGAATTATAGGGGAATTTTTTGGATAGTTTAAATTGTTTTGATGAAGAATAGAATGATGATTTACCCTTGTCAATTCGTGTCGAACGTTCACGGTATTTTTCTCAATAGCAACGCTAGTGCACAATGCAAAAAAGGCTTCCTCATGTCTCCCGAGTGCTGACAGCGCAACTCCTCTTCTGTAATGGCCCTAAGTTGATAAAACATAAAATAAAACAGAAAGAGCGATTATTTCCATGCTGTTCACATAATCAGTGAATTATCCAGTTCGCCCACAGTCCATTAAAAAGTTGCAATCGTAAAATGTTGAACTCATTGTAAACTCTGAGTTGCATCACCTCAATCGATAGTTTGAGTGATGAAGAAATGTCGAATAAGGTTTTTATTTCATGATGAAGTGGTTAATTTTCTTCAACATTCGATTGTCGTCGATTGTTAATTACGCAATGATGACGAGACTCTGTAATTGACAATCGAATTTCAGGCGGGACGAAGTTGTGTTTATGAAGTTTCTTTTCATGTAGAAAATCGGAAAACTTCAGTCCCTCTTCAGATTGAAGTAGACGCTTGTCTAACTTCTATCGTTGTCATTAAAATATCAGCAAAAACATGAACAGCTTATGAAGGTAAACAGTAAAAACTCAACGCGATTCAAAATTCTTAGATATAATTACATACCATTACTACAATTATATCATTACAAAAACGTTAATGAGGAATTGTTTGAGAACCATTCAAAAGAAAACGGAATGGAAATAAAAAGGGTCGTTTACCATCGAATTAATAATCATAGGATATTCACTTTCTATTAGTTTATCCGTAATTATTACCTGAAAATTCAATGACACATTTTTTCGAATGGAATTATTTATTCCTTAGACTTTTTATCCTCTTTATATACCAAAAATGTGAAGGTGGATAACGATTTTAATTTTGTAATTAACATTTTTTCATTTCGTAATTGATGAGTTATTGAAGTGGTCATTTATCTGACTGGAAATATGACAAATTACGTTCCAGTATTTTTTCAGTGTGTGGAATGCAATTGGAGTTGAAAGAAATGGCGGGTATCGAAATTCGAAGTGAAATTGTCCATTACCAGTGAATAGTCAACCAATGAAGTATGACTGAAGTATAAACGGAAGCAAACGTTCAACAGGACGTTGAATATTACGTCAAACCGGATATTCGCAATTTCTCGCGTTACATCGACTAATGTTTCTCCATAACAAAACCAAGTGAATAGAATATTTATTTACCTTGCCCCAATCCGGTCGCAGTCTGACTGCATGATCAGCGTCTGTCAGGGAAGCCTGGGGTCTGTTCAGAAGCAGAAGTGCGTGGGCTCGGTTACTCAGGTGTAATGGACTATTAGGTGCTGCAACAAACAGTAAAAACTTCAATTAGCCAAAGAAAATTAATCATAAAACGAGATTTCTCCTTTTTACCAAAAATTTCACCCAAAAAAAAAAGTTTTCAGACAATCGAAACTTTATATTCAATTATTTACATGAACTCGAACTTTTATTTAATTCACGGAAACAATTACTTTATAATTTTTTTTGGATTAATTATATTTCGAATTAATTTGAAATTAAAAATAAATTGATTGATTGATGATTTTTACGTTTTTTTTAATTTCTCGAATCATGAATTTGAAGTTTTGATGCGAAATTTTTTTGGAGTTTCAGGGAAACTATTTGAAGATGTTGACAAGATTGTATAATTTAATTTAGTGAGTTATTGACGGATTCAGGGAATAAATAAAGCGTTGCGACTCATCTTTTGCAATCTCGCCCCCAACAATCAACTCAGCTAAAACAATCAGGGGGAATTCAAACAGACAAACTGTGCTTTGTGTATAATACCAGTCGACCATTGAGCGTGGAAACTTTCATAATCTCCCGTATAACTTTGCGTAACAAACAACGGGTTTATTTTTTTTCCTCTGGTCCACGAAGTAGACGAGACGAGAGGGAGGTATTTCACAAGCCTCTATACCATTTACCTTACCGTCAATTACCGTTACAAATTTTAACGATCTTTCGTAATAAATTGAGTGAGTAGGAACGATTGAGATAAAATTGTTGCGAAAAATTGTTGATCCGAGTTATCAAAAACGAAAGAAAAATTATTAATTCGAAGACAACTGCCTCCCTACTACAGTTTTCGGTAAATGCCGCTCAACCCAAGAGAGATATCGAATTTTTCATTATTACCTTTTTTAAGAAGTGGAGTGAGAGCAACAAAAAAAGTCATTACAAAAATTGCGCTGGATCGCTTGGTTTCGGAGATATCCCACAAAAACTCACCTGCCACTTCAAATTGAATTACCAACTATTCAAAAAAGGATTCCAACTACTTTTTCAATTAATATTTAATTCAATAAGTATTTAAACAATTGAATAATCGATACTGAACGATTCTTGCACGATTAAATAATCGCTTACCAACAATAACAAAATAAATCAGTTGAAATTTTATAAACAAAAAAATAATTTCCTGAATAGAAAAAACCAAGGAAAATTTTTCCTTTATTCTTTACTTTATTATTTTAGTTTACTCAAATTGGATTTAGTTTTTCATTCAATTTAATAAACCGCCTCAAATAATTATTAACCAAACCGGATGTTTGAATGTTTAATTACTCGAGGGAATTCAATAAGTTTTGAGAGTGCATTTATTCGATGCATTGCGCATCGTTTTTTCGCGGTGAATGATTTGAATAAAAATAATGTCAACACGTAGTTTATTGAGTACATTGACCAGACGGATTGACAGTACATCGAACTCTGCTCATTGCATGGTAGTTTCCCGCGAATGTCGAGGTCGATACTATCGAAGCGTTAAATCGATGTTACAGAGGCGTAGGACAAACCGTGGGTAAACGTGCGGTTCTCAAAGCCATTTTACCGTGATCTCAAACCATTCCATTACATAACTCATATGTACATAAACGTCGACAGTTACTGGGTATTATTCCGGCCGTTGTTTCGATGTTAATTGTATCAGTTCTTTTGTGAGTAACAATGGGACTGGAGGATATTGTGAAAATAATCTATGGGATGGGTGATGACTCTTTGCATGACGGGAATTTTTTATTTCAGGTGATCACTTCACCAAATTGTAATTATTGTCAGTAATTAATGGCTGAGTTCAAATTCTAGTGCATTTTCAATTGAGTTGGATGACAGTAGTAATAAGTGGGCATGCAATCATGAGAGAATGTTGGGGTAAATCAGCAAATTTCATCAGCAATTCCGGTAATTGCTTCTGGCAGAACCGATTTTTAGATTTTTTAACAAATTTCTGGCCTTTTTTCAAACAATATTGGCCGGCTAAATATATATTTAGATATTTATCTAGAAAATGGAAGAGTAATTTGGGCCGGAACCGGGGAATGTGGCCCGAATTCCGAGAAAATTACGGCAGCAAATGAGAATAATTCATAAATATTGAGTAGGAGTGGATAATTTTTTTTAAATCGATTTTTTCAACAACAAATTATTGGTTTAATATGTTCTAGCCTACCAGATGATATTACAATTACAGAAGCCCGAAAAGTGAAATCAACAAGACGATTCATCATGATCAACCGATGGGCCTGATCTATGACTTTTGGGGGATGAAAGTAACTCTTTTGCAAAACGCAATTCCGTCCGATTTACTTGTAAATTTTCCTTCAACCACCTGTTAATTTCTATGTTCCGGTACTGGATGTCATTAGAGCCCCCAAAAAAAACCCGACAAGTGTAAAAAAAAGAGAACAAAATGGTTTCATCATCAACCATGGGCCTGATTTATGACTTTCGACGGACGAAAGTGACTCCTTCAAAATGGAAATTTTTCACGTGTCATGTGTACCCACGTAGTAGCTGACATTAGATCATCATGAGGGTCCAGACGATGTCAATGTGACCTCCAGTGTCTCAGACGAATGGTGGAATATGATGGGCTGATTAACAATGTTGAAGGAATGATCAAGAAGTACAGGACAGCGACTGAATACGTGGCTGGGTTGACCGACCTTTACGTAACTCAGTCGGTGTTTGTTGCTGACGGTTATATATCCCTCTTTGCGATCTGTCGCTCTGCTGCAGCTGCATGATATTTTTTTCCTGTTTTCCCGCAACTCTGTCCTCACCTCGGCTTATTATTGCAGTAATTTTAGTATTTGAGCTGCTGTTGTTTGAATATCCATATTTTTATTCGCGACAAGCACAACCCAAGCTCCTGATTTATTTCACCATTGCGGTTTATGGACGAATGTTTATGATCACTTGGAGCTATCGTTAATGTGTTGATAATGACTGACGTGACAATGAGCTCAGGGGGTTGAGGATATTTCGTGGTGATTTATTACATCTCTTTGAGGAAGAATTATTCTCGAGTCTTGATGGTTGATGGGTGCGTAGACATTGACAACCGGAAAATAGAAGCGGGTGATTGAAATTTCAGGTTGATGAAGAAAAATTGATTTACTAGGCCAATCAGGAAGGGGGGGTAACGGAATATGAGAGAAAGAAATAATTTAAACACAGTGGATTCAATACGGTAATTTTAGTTTATTGAAAATGGCGGGAGGAAGAAAAAAGAAAAGAAAAAAAAGAACATTTGCCACATGACCTCATTGCAAAAATCGTTGTTCAAATGGATTTTTAATTTCATTCAAGTTCAGTAACTTAGACTCAACTAATCAGGTTATCAGGTCTGATATGATCCACAAAATGATTGATTTGAAGAAAGTCGAGTTGAATCAACTTGAGTATAGCAGGTGTACTTGAATCAAATCGACACATCAACTTGAATTAACCCGTAATAATTAATTCAAGTCTAAATATCAACTTGAAGCTGACATAAAACGTAATGCGGGCTTCCAATATAATTTTTAATACCAATTATTTAATTTCATGTGATATTATTTATTTAATTCACAAGAAATATATTTAACGAGCTTAATACATCTTGTTGCTATCGAAACCGGAAAAAGGAAGTCTGTTAGCAGCAATTAGTGATTGAAGATAACCTGACCGTGTTATCGCTGCTGATTTGAGACTGTGTAAATTCCCCAAAGGGTAATGTTTTCACAAAATAGTAATAAATGTACTCGCAATCTTTTGTGACATTACACTTGAGTTGTACAGCGTGAACAGGTGAGTGCATGGGATTGAAACAGACATAACTTGAAGTCACGGCGTTTTTTTTTTCCATTTCACGGTCAAGTATCCCCCGGAGCCGTGCTTCGATCAAGTTTCTCACTCAACTTTGATCGTTCGATATTCACCTCACGAATAATTCTGGATGAGATGCTGTGAGAACACTCGTTACCTCTTGACCTCAATACTCTGCGAGGTAAGTGGACCTCCGTGAGTCATTTTATACAAAAAAAAAATATGTACTTGAATCAAGTACATGGTGTACATGATTCAAAGGTACGTGTTGTACTTGAAACAAGTATATTAAAGTATTTATTTGAAATAGAGTTCATACTTAATCCAAGTAGATTCGTTATAAAATAGTTATAAAATTAGAATATTAATATATTCGTTCTAAGTATACTTTATGCTTGATTTTCAACAAAAAAATAAATAAATAGAACTTGAATGTGTACTTGTTTCAAGTACAAAGTATACTTGCTTCACATTTTTTTGTAAAAAAATTTCTGTAAAAAATATGAAAGTCCGCCGCTCAATGACTCCGAAAGAAATTAGAAACATTCAAGTAGTGATTTTAAATCTCGGTTAATTTAGAATTTGTTTGCAATTAATTGAATGGCTTTTTGGAAAAACAGTCTGGCAAGTGCAGTCGGACATTTGGCCCATCTCGATCCACTTGCATAATTGAGTCCGTTGACTTCCCCCTGCTCTTTCACTGCGACTTTATTTCAAATGCCGTTTGTCCACTCATTATGTCATTTCGAAACATGGAGGCATTACATGATTCCCACATCGCCTCGAGTTATTGAATTAATTACCTATCGATGATACTCTAATATTTTTCTACAATCGACATATCACTGGCCACAATCACCGATGTGATAATTAGACTGATTAACGCGTGTATCTTTGGGTCGTTTCATCGCGGCTTCATCCCTTTTCTTTGGAATAAGGACGAATCAATTCAAGTCTACATACTAGATCAAAATGTTTATCCAAATGACCAAGGCGCAGTTACGAGTCATCGAGCACACGCTTATGCGCCGCGACGTTTTGCCTCGATCCCTTATATAACATTTTTTTTTTATTATGTAATGTCAAACGCAGAGACGAACTTGTAAATATGTGATAAAACCTCCTAAATTTCAAGTTATTTGAAAAGACAGCTCATTTCCCTCCGATATGAATTCAAATAATTCATTTTTTTTTTGTTTTTTCCCGC